CTCTAATCTTCTAGCTCAGTGGTCCCCAACCTATAGAGGTGCCTAGGGGCAGGGATGCCCTTGCACCTAGTGCCCACAGTGTTTATCTTGGGGGCAGCACAGGAAAGCCAGGGAGTGGTTTGGGGGGGGAGGGAGAGGGAAGAGTGCTATGCAGCTTGCAAGCCACAAGCTGGCCACCCTGACCCACAGCAACGCTCCAGTCCATTATTCTCTTCCTGTAAGATACAGAGCTGACCACAGCATGAGTCCTGGTCACAGCTGACTGATCTCAGTACTGCTCCCCCTGGTGATGTAGCCTAAAACCAGTTTTACCAGTTAACCCAGGATATGTTCATCGGGCAGATAAGCCCTGGGCCGAAGAGGAATAATGAAGAATCTTCCTTGTCAATGCAAGTGTCAGAATTTGTAAGAACCTTGTCAGCACCAAAGAAGTGGAGTGTAAACTTGAGTCCCTTACAAAAGCTAGGCTCATAAGATTGCTTAACCTGGTTCCATAAGCATTAGACTATGGTTTTATAAGCTATAAGGGCCACCTAACTCTATATTCACCATTTATGCCAGTCACATGTCTAGCTTTAGTTTCATTCTCCAAAATGAACATGCTAAGAAAGACAAGTCTAGAATCTGATGTGGTTTTTCTATTCCAGACAGCTGTTTGTCCTTTAATCAGGCTTGTGTAGCAGGAGCCAGCTTTGTTTTGGCAAACTAGCCTATTAAGTGTAAGGATAGACTTTATTTTATTTTTTAAAGTCTAAGATAAAACAAGATACAAAGTAAGGAAGCAGATCACTACAGTAGACACCTATTGAATACATTTGTGCACTAAAGTTCTATCAAGATCACTCATTAAACATACTTCACAAGGGGATCACTTTTTTGGGGGGCTAAGTAATGACAACCGTGGCTCCCAAGTCATTTCACTTTCAACATTAAGAAAGGTCTTGCCCTATCTGATGCAACAAGGATGTTTTAAAGTGATGTAATTTCTATTACAAATGCAGATTAACTTCTGGCAGTGTTATCAGTGGCATTAGTAAGCCTGTTACCACAAGATACTATGCCACAATCCTACCTTCTAATGGCCATGCACTTAACACTGTAGAAACCCAATGAAAGGGCAGAAATAAAAACAGTAGGCCCCTGAGTAGTGTGCAGTAAGTGACCTAAATTACTAAACTATGACCTGTGCCTGTTGCATTCCACTGAATAGCAGTTTCTCACCTATAATTTGACTTTGGCCTACTATTGATAATCATTCACAATTTTGTAGCATGTTATTGCAACATGAGTTTTAATTCATAACCAATAAGCATGCATGGCATTAAGATTTTCAAGGGTAAGTTTAATCATCTTAAACTCATACATAAAGGAAGGCATTGACACACCAGTAGGCTCAGAATGCCTGCTTGCCTTTGGACACAGGTTTGACTACAGAGAAGTCTGCCAGCCAGGAGAAGTGATGTCATACACATCTGTCTCCAACTGGTAAGTGACAAAACCAGGAATCTAGAAGTCACACGATCAATGAACTTATTCTCTTTAAGCCTTTTTGGAAGCCCTGGTAACTTTTAGCTAGTATACATTGAGAAATCTAGAGTATTACTTTGGGAATATATACCTGCATATGTCAATACTTGTGAAATCAAGAGATTTGCATGGAAAAGCAATTTCCATGGATAGGGCTCTCCATACCATTTAGTACAGTTTTTCAAGGTTTAACACCAAATCATTATACCCCCTCTCATGGCCTTTTGAGTTTTAGATACTTGTACACTTTAATTTGCAAACAAATTCCATAACAAATCTCGTTTACTAAATGTCTACTTGTAAGTTTATATAGAAAACCCAGGATAAAATGATTGTGGAAGGCCTTAAGTTACATTATTACAGTAGAAAATACAGGAGGTAGAATATAACTGAAAGAACTAATGCAATGTTAGAGTCAGATCTATAGTGCCTGTAAGCTACTTAAAACGTGGTTTTTAAAACTAAACCCAGTATCTTCAATAACTATAGAAAAGTTAATAAAATTTGCCATGAGAGCCCTTGTATCATGGTTGATACAGGGAGGTAGGATGTAAAAACTGAAAAGGAGACACAAGACAGACATTTATCTACAGCTCCTGTTTTCTTTACTGAAGACAGTTTCACAAATCAGTCACCTTCTTCAGTTTCTGACTCAGACTCTGAAATGAAAAGTTAAAATCAGGAGATAGAACAATGGGTACATTGATGTTGCAAACGGTTCCAACTTCTCCCAAAACAAACCTGTAATAGAACACAGCTCAACTGCGCCAGCCCAGCTTAAGAACAAATGCATTTTGCACTTCAACCCTACAGATTCAAGTTTACTAGACATACAGTATCATTGAAGTCTGATATTCAGTTTTGAATTGTGGGGGAGAAGTTTTTCATCTACACTACCATTCACTAGGGGTGACAGACAAAAAGACCCCCCCCCCCCCTATGTCAGCAGGAGATGCTCATCACAACAGTGCCACTGCCACTCACCAGGAGGTGGTTTAATTATGTTGGTTGGAGGCATAGAGCAGCTAAACAGAAGTCTTACAGTGATGCCACTGGAGACTTTGGACTATACACACACCAGGGATTTTAGAGTTTCAGAAGTAGGAAACTTGTTCCGGTAAACTTGAAGCTAGAGTTTCACAGTAAGGTTTAGTTACCTTCTTCAGCATTCTTGAGCCATTCCACAAACTTTTTCAT